AGAGACAATGAAAAGGTCAATGTGGCTGAAGCAGATGTAGAAAAGAGAAGAGTAGGGATGAATTCAGAGAATTAATGGGGGTGCAGATCAGCAGGAACTGGTAGATCATTTTAAGAATGTTGCTTTTACCCTGAATAAAACAGGAAGCCATTGGAGAATTCCAATATGATCTGCCTTAGGTGTTGAAAGTTTCTCTCTTGCTCTTGTGCTGGGAATTAACTGAAGGGATCAAGGGTGGGAGCTGGGAGATATCAGTTAGCTTATAATTACAGTTGTTCAGGCGAGAAATGCTGGTGGCTGAGACCAGAGTGGCAGCCGTAGAAGTGATGAGAAGTGGTCAGATGCAGGACAGATTCTAAAGGCAGAGCCAGGGGGATTTGCTCTGAGGATTTACCTCACATGTGGGCAGTGAGAGAATGGGAGGACCTTCAAATTTCAGGGTTTAGACAGTGGTAAGTATGGAGTTGCCATCATCTTATACTGAAGGATATGGGTGGAGAAGGTAGAGGCAGGGGCAAGGCTGGAGATCAGAAATTCAGGTGTGGACATGCAAAATTTGAGATAGTCACCCAAGTGGAACTGTGAAGCAGATAGCTGGATTTATCAGGCTGGAATTCAGGAGAGGAAGTTGAACTCAAAATGTAAACTTGAAAGTCACTGGCCTATAAAGTCATGAGATTCACTATGACTATTGCTCAATAATCTGATTTTTGTTTAAGAAAAGGCAAAAATTCATATTTCTTCTATGAAACTTACTAAATTTATAAACAAACAGCAGATTATATTTTCCAGAACTATCGGGAATCCCACTGCAATGCTTTTCCCAGGCCTTATCCACTCCAGCTGGAAACTTGTGCTTGGCCTCAGTTAAAGCTAAGTTGGGGAAATAACCACTCTGTTCTTTCTCAAGGAAAACTGCAGGAGTCCTTTTGTTCTTATTAATGTCCATGGAGACAAAGTGTGTTTTGTAGAAAACGTGCTTGCCAGGATGCTTGAAACTGGACTCTGTTTTAAATTTCCAGAAATTTCTGCCACTGGTCATCCAAGTGGCTCAATCTCCCAGCATCTTGTAAAATCCTTTCCCTTCTTTGAAGCAGCTTCTTTGGCTGTCTCTCTTGCTGTGCATCAGCCTTTAAAGAGAAACATTTTTTTCTTTCATATCTCCTTGTGAACAACCTGACACACTACAAAACAACAACAGTGAAGCCAAAACCATGTACCTCTACAGACCGGGCGGTGACCGCTAATGAGCTCCATGGACCCCTCTAGATGACTCTTCTTCCCAGTTCGTCTCTCACCTAGGTGGTCCACAGCCACAGCTAGCAACAATCTTTCCTTTTTAGAAGAAGTTTTGATTTGGGTAAAAATGATAAATTCTCATATGAAATTGGTATATAAGTTTTGTCCCTGTTAATTATTTTCTCCTTCCATTGCTAAATCTTCTCTGTCTTTGCTTCAACACTTGCTTTCACCTCCCTTCAGACCATGCACACTCTGCTTCTGTAAAGAAGCAAAGAGCTTCCAGTGTGTCTGCCTTTCTTTCTGAGTCTTCGCTGACACACATCATGTACTACCTTATTTGGGCACCTGAATAGTAGGAAGAAAACTGTTGTGCTCATGCTGAAAGCTTTCTTCGTTAATCACTGTGCACCAAAGGAAAGGACAGACCCCAGATGCGCCTATATACGGAGTACTCAGACTGTAATGCTGAGTCATCATCTCTTAGCAATTTGATTAAGGGCCTCACACCTAAGACAGCAGCTGCCCTCACACTTCCTGGCTCCTTTCGCTTCGGTACCTCAAGCTGTTTTCTTTCTGGGTTCATGTTTTAAGTGCTCAGTTTATGCCAAGTAGAGAGAAAAAAACAAAACACCAGTTAAAATGAACTCATTAAAGAATATGGAAATTATGCTCATAAAATTACCCTTTTTAAATAAGCAAATTGGGGTCATGCATCTTTTATTTTGAGTGTCTACTTTACAGATGAGTTTTTCTAATCACAGTATGTGTTGAACCAAAATGAACCAAGCTCGAAGGCAGCCTTATAAGCATTTTTTTCCCTTATTATAGAAATATTAGATTTTTTCTTACCCAAGTACTCTTTTTCCCTCTTAGAAATACATCATTGGTTTTTTTGATTGACCATAAACAAATGAATTTCTAGCCTACAATTTCATTGCTAAATTTAGTTTGTTAACACTGCAATGCAAGATTTGTGTGAGGCTTATTAAAGATGTGTTCAAAGTGCCCAGATATTTCTTATAGTTTTCCCCCAAGATCCTTCCCCCTACTGAATTTGGCAATCTTGAGTTTTAAAAATATTTTAAAGTGTAGATTTTATGGAAAAATGTGTTTTCATTTATTTTTGCTATTTATAGACTGCCGCTTTATGAAAAGTTAGAATTCTGTTGGTTGAAAGTAACAGAATCCCAACTCGAGTTAGCCTGAGTGAAATGGGGGTTTCCAAGAAAGATCTTGGGTTATCTCACAGAATCTAACATAGATTAAAACAGCCAGCCCTCAGGATGTTCAGAGGTGTAACCAAATCTAGGGAAAAATAGGAACCAGCCACATAAATATCGTTGGCACCCACTCCGTCTCTGTCTTCTGCTGCATGCTGCACCTCAGTATTTTTTTCCATACTCACATTCACTGCAGAGAAACTTTCTTCTCATGGCTGAAAACATAGCCACTGAGAACTTCTGAGTTTAATATTTTATACCTTCATCCACCAAGAAGAGTGTGATCTGAACTTTCTTGATGCCAAAACCAAAGAACTATTGGGTAACTACCTACTGACCTGGCTTTGCTCAGCTTTCCATCCTTAAGCAATTCATTTTCTGTTGGGGGAGGGAGGGGAGCAATAATACCCTTATTTGCCAAGCATGGAATGTGTGTGTGTGTCTGGTGGTGGGAGGAGGGGAGTGGGATGGTGTGGGATGGGGGTGTGAAGAGGTTATGTAAGGACTTGATAGTTTCAAAGGGGAAAAGTATGCTGAAAAGTCAACTGCAGAAGAAGCAGTATTCAGAAGCAGGGAGGTGCTGGGATGGAAAAGAAAAAAGGTGTGGGGGCAGGTGGGCATTCACAGGCTAGCTCCAAGGCTCTCTGTCCGGACACACCCAGAGGCAGTGGTCCTTGCTTGGATTTGTAGATGAGGACACGAAGCATTGAGGATGCTTCAATTTTATGCAATTTCTCCACAGCACAAGGTTGGCGGGGGCAAGGACTGTGGTTCATCTGAGTGACAAGCCTATTTCTTTTCCTTCTCAGCAAGATCAGGAGCTGGGAGTGGGAATCAAGAGGAAGGATAGAATTTGAAGTAGGAAAGGGACCACCTTGTTTGTTAATTTATTCATGGGTTGGTTTTTGTGAACATGTTCCATAGCAGAATTACTGGCTCCTTTTTTTTTTTTTTTTCTGTTCTCTAAGCCATAGTTGGATACCATGGAGTACCAATAAGCTTTTCCCAAACATCAGCCTTGTCAGCACAATTGTACGTTTGCTATGCTGAGCAGAAAATTTCTAATAATACATCTGAGCATATGCAGGAATATTAGCTTCTGGGCTCTGAAACAGTCCTTGCTGGAGGGTTTCCTACCTATATGGGACATTTGGAGTAAATCCTCTTCCTTTTGCTTGTCTCACATTCTCAACGGCTCCACAATGAGCACTTTTATTCTATTATACCACATCTATAACTTCATTGCTTATACCGTCTTCTCTTTTAAAATCATGGGATGTTTTTTCCTGTAAAGATTGTTTTCAAGAATTCCAGCATTCATCATTGCTTTTACTCTTAATTTTATTCACTACAAATATTGAGCACTTGCCAGGTTATCTCCTAGTGGCAACAGTGCCTGCAGGGTAGAGATTTTAAATCGTGGATGTAAGAGATGAAGTGAATTACCCAAAGACACCATGGAGTAAATGGCTGAGATGGGATTTCAATTCAGATATATGTGACCCCAAAGTCCATGATCTCTGTCCAGAAAAAATGAACATTGCCTTCACTCCTATTTGCCTAAGTGACATCGAACATTTTTCCTTCCTATCATTTTTGCAATATAAAGTGTTCGTTTTATTTTGTTGTGGCTCTGCTTCATATCTTGAATTTTCACCTAATCCAGTCCCAGTCTGTTATAATCCTTTTTGTGAACATCATGTGTAGTAGCTTTACGATAGCTCATTAATTTTATGTACTACAGCTTTGCTAAGAAATTTTCTAATGTTGGACACTTACAATGATTCACCATTATGAACGACATCATTATGAATAACGATAATTAGCATACATAGTTTTCACATTTTGAAATATATCCTTAAAACAGAGCTGTCTAAGTGTGATTGCTGGGTCAAATTATATGATTTTTTAGAGAGTTTTTAACTTGCATGGTGAAAATATTTTTCGGAATAGTCGTACTGTTTCTACTCAAAGTACTAAAGGCCTCGTTTTAAGGATGGCATTGGCACTTCTAAAAATGTTAGAATTTCCTTGCATGTTAAATGATCAGGTATCATCTTTTGAAATTTCATGTGTAATTTAAAATAGATTCTTGGCAGTCACTCAAAAGAGAAGCATGAGGACAGTGACTTCAATTATCTGCCCCTTTCCCCTTTCTTTTAAAAATGCAAAATCTTTCCAAAATGTAAAATTAGAATTTTTGTACATTTTGTTCTATGGTAAATGAAAAACCTTACAGATTCTGACCACTTCAAATTAACTTTAAGTCAATGAGATTTTGCCCCAATATTGAAATTCTTAACTTAATTGCCTAAATCAGCTCCGAGCCTTTCATTGCCCAGTAGTGCTAGGTGGACCCACCTCTTGTGGTAAAACCATAGTATTGTTTGATGTCATTCAAGTTTAACTTAGGTATAGGAGTGTTGCAGACCAATTTCTACTATGAATTCATGCAATTGGATATAAGACATTTTTTATTTTCCCTTTATTTCAACTGATTTGATTTATTTTGTTTGCTTTTGCTTTATCTTCCATTAGGTGTTTGCCAAACTACTGTGAACATGGAGGAAGCTGCTCCCAGTCCTGGACTACCTTCTACTGTAACTGCAGTGACACAGGTTACATTGGCGCCACCTGCCATAACTGTGAGTAGTTTCATGGTTTACTCACAGCAGAATGGGCAAAAATCCAGGAATACCAATGTTAACTTCAGGATGTATTCGACATGTGGTGGGCACCTTTTATTCATTCACTCAACATGTGTTTCTTGAGAGAATACTATATGTCAAACACTGTGAGGGGCATGGAGGATACATGGGTGTAAGCCATATCCTCATGGAGTTTATGGTCTACAAGGAAGACAGACAGGAAATGGGATAAGTATTGAGGTAGAACCAAGACACGATGGTGCAGGCAAACAAAGGGGAGCTGTTAAGTCAACTTCATTGTCAAGATGGGCTAAGTTATGCCTCTGTAATAAATAACCTAACATCTCAGTGGCCTAAGTAACAAGTAGTTGTGTCATGTCTATGTTACATGCTCATCATACGTTGGCAGGGGACCCTCTTCCACTTTGTCCTCATTCTAGGATTCTGACAGAGGCTCCATCATCTGGAATGTTGCCATAACAAGGAGAAGGAAGCACAAGAAAGCATGTGCTAGCTTTTAAAAGCTTCTACCTGGAAGTGGCAAACATGACTTCCACTCACATTCCATTGACCAAATAAAGTCACCTGGGCACACCTAAACTTAAGAGGGGAGGAAGTGCATTCTTACCATGGGATCTGAGACGACAGAACCAGCATATTGTTGATAAGTAGCCATGACTGCCTGTCAATGTTAGGGAGGCTTCAAGTAGAAGGGTTGAGCTGATCTCATGGTGGGAACACAGCAGGAAAAAAAAACAGAAGGAAACTGAATCTACAGGTAGTTTCACGTGACTAGAGAGTGCTGACAGTGAGGAGACGTGGTAAGAGAGGAAGCAGGGAGGCAGGCTGTAGCTCACAGGGAATAAGGGGTGAGGAATAAAACATAAATGAATAACATGAGCCCTGATGTCTATAATTTTATAGTCTTGTCAGGGTCAGCAAACAAAAACACATGACAAATTAGAGAACGTTTTCCATTTAGAGAATTGCACGTCAAATTGTGTGAAATGAACTATGAGTATAATCGAGAAAGACGTAATCTGAAGGTACTGGCTGCAGGTATAGGAGATTTCACGGAAAATGTGAAATTTGGAATTGACTTAGAAGGTAGAGGGATGGGAGAAGGACCTTCTAGAAAGATGTAAGAGCCAAGCCAAGGCTGGAGCTGTTCTGAAGACTACAGTGAGTCTATCCCAAAGGGGCAGATCTTACAAGTTTTTCTTAAGTTCCCACTGTTGCTGGGATGGCACTCAGGGATGCAGAAAAGGAATAGCAGATGCCAGCTGGGTTGAAATCAGACTCTGATCCAGGATGAGCAGTGTCGGCACTCACATCACTGAAGACTTCTCAGCCGTTCTATGACCTCTTCTATGCCCTGGAATGTAGCATTTGTCAAGGATGTCCATAGAGGAGTCTAATCAAATCAGAGAAGAAATAGCCCCATGGTCATCATGGGATGATGTTGTTATTGCTGTTAGTTGCCTGGGGAAATGAAAAACACTGTCTGGCTTTATAATGAAATATCTTATTTAAATTTTTCTATTTAGAAATTTGGAACAGTGGCAGAACACTGAACTGAGAGAGATTAGATTTAAATTTTACCTAGCTCTTATACTTGAACAAGTACATAATTTTAGCACTCCAGAGCTCAGTTTCTTCACAGATCCTATAAGGGAAAACTAATGAAATCTTGTGGGCCCTTTTAAGGTTAAAATTACATGTTTTTATTTAACACTCCCAATAAATACCCATCCATAAAGTATTGAGTCTGGTTCCAGGAATATTATCCCTAAATAGCCAAGAACAATGTATGTTTGTACAGAAACGTTGCAGGACATGTATAGAACTGTCTGAATTGTAATGTCAATGTTCTTGTAAGAAGCTCAGAATTAAACAGAATGGCCATCAATTTAATAGTGAGACAAGAGAAGCCTGAAGAAGATTAAGTCAAAGCTAACCAAATTTCAGCCAAATCACATGACAACATTCCTATGACTTTTAAAGCTTATTCCGTTCACCCTCTCCTAAAGTAATTTAATGATATTTTGAGGAGTTCATTTCTACATAAGCTCTTTTCCTTTAATTTTATCCATCCATCAGCCTAAAAATAGAAGATTTTCAACTTTGAAAAAGTGTGAAGTTGAAAATCGATGGAAGTGAGGTGCTGGTTTTTAAAGGAACACTGTCAAAACTGATGAGCAGGAGACTCAGCATACCAAGTCTTAAAAATACCATTCTTCTTTTTTAACACCTTCTTTTTCCCCTTTCTGTGAAATTTCTCAGTGCCTACACTGCGGGCTCCAACATTGTTAACCCCCTTCTTCCTTTCTGGGCACCCAGCCAGGACAAATCAGAGGCACTTGGGTGGCTGGGAGGTTTGGCAAGCACACTGTGGATGCCTGTGCCATTCAAGAATCTGTCCTCCCGATAGCTAATCCCTCCTCGCCCCCCAATTGGGTGAGGATCATTGTTTTGAGTCACTTTGTAAACTGAATGAATCAAGCCATGTTTTCATGCCTTCAACAAGCATGTGCCCACGTGGGGCATCAGAGATGAGAGCTGCCATGATACAGAAGACAGTATACAGGGATACCCTCATGTAAAAACAAAAGATGCAAGTTCACAATCCTGCTCTTGGGGAAACGACAATGTCCATGGTGTGCTGGGGCACATTTTCTTAAAGCAATCACCCACGATCAGAACAGTAAATGCAAGGTCTTCAGATTCACAAGATATTTATAATAATACATAAAACTGATAATTTCTTGAGTATTCTCTTAGTCATTTTTCTTTTCAAGCTCTTCAGTGTTAGTTTTGTTATTCACTATTGGTGCTTTGTAGCAAATGTGGACGCATAAGGCTGACTTAGGAATGATAGGATTAATTTCTTTCTGTCCAGCCTTTGTGGATAAGAGGGGTGTCTGGGTGAGGGAGAGAGTACGGTAGACTCTCTAAGAAATGACAAATGGGAATTCCCAAAGTCTTTAGACACAGCAGTTTGCTGTTGAAGTAGATATATCATCATGCCATTTCAGTTTTATTTCCTCCTTACCTGAAGACACATAAAGAACTTTGGTGTGCAAGTTAGGTTACTTTTCAAACACACTTTGTTCAAAACCACCTCTTTAAGAAGGAGGGGATGAATGCGTGGGCAATTCCTAGCCAATCTGAGGAGGAAATGTGAGACTATCACTTCTTCCATAATCTGCCATCGAACACTGTTATATCATGTCTGTAAACTGTTTGGTTAGGAATTTTCTCCTCTAAGTTGTATCCTGTTCTCCAGAGGAATAATTGAAGGTAAAACAACATTTGCAGTCCAGATCAAGCCATGGCAACCCAACCAACGATGAGGGCCTTCAGACCACCAGAGACAGTTACCATGGTTATTGGTTTTATACAATGTGCAAGTGTAGAAGGTTGTGTAACTGAAGCAACTTCTAAATATTCAGGGTATATCTTGGTCATGGCATATCATGAATTCAAGTTAAGATTGAAAGGAAGAGGTTTTGACTCTGCGCACTAATGCATAGATTAGTCTGCAAACTAATGATGAAGTGAGACAGGTATTTTTATCTCCATTTAGACGAGCACATTGAGGCCCAGAAAGGCTACACATCTTCCTCAAGTTTGCACAGCTAGTAAATTGTGGAGCTGGGACTTGAACGGAGGGAATCTGGCATTAGATCCCAGATACTTAATCCTTGTGTTTTATTTCCTTTCTCGAACAAGACATTTGCAAACCTCTGTATATGAACTTAGTGTGGGACATTCATGACATTCTTCATATTGCCTGAGACACACTAAGGTATTGTGATACTATAATTGAAAATGCAGTTCTAGAAGACTGAGAGATGAGAAAACTTTTGTGTTCTAGAATAATCATGAAATCATTATGGAAGGAAGCAGGATGAGTTAGCATGTGAATGACAACTAAAATTAAAATAAATACAAGGAATAGGGAAGCCTATTGAAAACAGAGAGACTGGCAAGAGCCAAGACATGATGGTAGGAATATATATGCTATGTTTTGGGACAACATAGATGTTTGTCTGGCTCAAGAAAGGAAGAATAAATAGCTCTATTCATTCATTCCTGAAGCCCAAACAGTATTCCTATAAAGCACTTTCCCACAGGGGAAATCTGAGTTCACTTCTCATTTTCATGTGCTATTGCAATAGCTATAAATACTATTTAATGACTACATAATAAATATTCTATTTAATGATTTTTTCTACTGTTTAATCTTTTTTTTTTTATTTTGAGGAGAGGGCAGGGCCCTGTGTTGTTTCCAAATATTTTTTATTGTAACCAACAATACAGTGAGCATCTCTGTGCTTAAATAATTTTTTAACCCCACATGTTCTATTGTTTTCTTGAACTAGCCTTAGAAATGGCATTATTGAGTCAAAGATTATGAATAGTTTTAAGGATCTTGATTCATATTTCCACCTTGCTTTCTTAAAGTCTTGCTACAGTTTGTACTTTGATCACTATTTTCTGAGATCTTGTTTCACCTTCTCTGCCAGAATTGTTTACTATAATTTATAAATCTTTTTGACTTGTATTTTTACTAAAGCATTTGCATATTGAAATAGAAATTATTATTGACCTTCATAGTGAGTTCCAGATGAAGATAAAGTTTTTTTTTTTTAGAAGACTTATACAGTAGGAATAAGATTGTCTCCACAGAATTTTATTTTATCCCTCAGCAAGTACCATTTGAAAGCATCTGGTGTCAATAACTGTGCATTTGATTATTTCTCTCACATTGAGCCATCTCGGTAAGCAATACAAGTACTTATCATCTTTTCTATGTCTCCTATTGAGTGGGACTGTCCTTGATCTTCTCAATATCTATGTCTGATGACATTCACATGAGCCCTTTTCAGGGTCTCTTCACTATTTCTCAGCCTTTGCTAATCTCTTTTCACAGTGTAGCCCCTCTGACATCCTAACACCACCTGTTAGCTCACTTTTCGGTGTGGCAAAGGATG